GTTAACAAATAATTCTGAAAACCTCTGTGCATGTGTATTTATAATGTATATGTATAATGTGTTCTCTGATTAACATTTAAGTGTTACGGAAACGGAGGTGTAGACCAGGGGTCTCAAACCGGTTCCAGAAAGAGCCATGTGGCTGCAGGTTATACTTCCAACAGTTCCAAACTGAGCAGGAGCACAGATGACTCCACCCATTTCCTCAGGTGAGTCCAGTTTTACCCTGAATATTTGAGGAAACTTGCAGCCACAGGGCCCTTTCTGGAACCGGTTTGAGACCCCTGGTGTAGACCAATCAGAAAGGAAGGGGGAGGGAGCTTGCGTCGTTTTTTTCAAATCAAGTACCTCTCTGTCTCTCTTTCTGACAAACTCCAGACAATCCCTAATTATCAAAGGGCTGTTCACGTAACCTACCATAACAGAAGTATACAATAAGTGAAAGTAGTATATGGGATATTTGGGAACTCTTTAAAAAATGTCCTAAGAGAACACTGGATTTGGGAACTCTTTAAAAAATGTCCTAAGAGAACACTGGATATGCATTATTACACTTACATGGTGTAAGTGTAATAATGCATATTTTTCACACGTGCATAAAGGTAAGAAAATTAGTCACGGTGCAGACACATAACAAAAATCATGGCATCAACAAAAATATCCTCTCAAATCATTTTCAGTAGTTCATTTTCCATCTTATCAAGAATGCAGTGAAGAAAACATTAAATACTTAGAAATTATTAAGTAGGTACAGCATATATATATATATATATATATTTTGTTACGTGATTACAGTGGTGGAATGTATGTTCATGAAGGATATTTACCAATGTCATCTTCTGGCTTGATTTCACTCAAAGGCAATTAATTAAAGCTGGGGCATCTTATCCTAAAATATAATTTTTTTTTTTATCTAACTAGTTCCTTGCACTCGTCATTGTTTTGGTTCTATATTTATTTTTCTGCATGCAAGCATTTCAAGCCTCTGTCACATCATATCCATTTTGCCCTTTCTCAACTCAGCCCAAGATAACATGTTTTCTACTAAGATGTCGTCTCTCCTGATTTGTTCGAAAATACATATATATTAAATACATAATCAGTTATTTTTAGCTTTAAATATTTATCACTGGCACATACTTGAAGTCCAGAGCTCCATCTCAGACGAGCGTTAGTGAAAGGCGCTGTAGTGCTTCCGACAGCCACGTGGTGTCGCTGTTGTATACTGGAGCAGGGGACACAGACTGCGGCTTGTTTGACATTGGAGTCCTTCACACTAATCTTTGCAGCGAGCGCCTTTATAAACCTAACATTTCGAGATGGAGCAACTTAAAAAAGAAAATTGTATTTGAGAGGACATACAACCAATAAATGCTTTATTATCTGTTTATTTGCATATAGAAAGATTACAAATGATCCGATACAGTGCTGTATGCAGTCGGTTGATTTAAAAACTTGCCAGACACAGATATGTTTGCCGTTTTTAATGTCAAACTTTTACAGTCATCTTCATACCAAACCATTCACCGAGATCTTGCCCTTCTGGTCATAGCAAATGCAATTAGTTCATAATGTAAATACAGTAAAGATTCAGCAAAACAAAATCAAAGAATTAAATAAAAAACAAACAAAAAATCTCAGCCAGCCTCGTATAAAACAAACATTTTTTTTTTTTTTTTTTTTAACCAACCATTTTTCTCAAGTGCAGATTTTGTAAGCATGCCAAAGTCTTGTTCTGGTTCCATTTGCCTTGTTTCTACAGTGTAGTTTTAAATCTGTACATGGCTATTAGTTAATAACAGCGTAAGGGGGGTGACAGACGCCCCATGTCCTTTAAGTGTCCTATTAAAAAAAGCAGTCTTGATTAGTGCATGGTACATGACAGTCCTCTCCATCTGTCTCCCCTCTTTGTTTTGCCGTAGTAGTCCCAAACATATTTAAACGTGCAAGTATAAAAAAAACACACGCCCACACACAGATTCATATACAGGAGTTCTGCTTGAAGAGCGGTTGAAAGGTGCTGTAATGAACTGCCATAAAACAGCAGAATATGAAGGCAGGGCTGCATGGTCTGAGTCTGTAACCAAACTGACTTCCCCCCCTCGGACACAAATCTTCCACGGATCCCGTCGAACCAACGTCCATCCATATGTTCTACCCTGCTATGTTGTTGCTGATTGTTTTCTCACCAATTTCTTCTCAAAGTCAGTCAAGTTGAAAGCGCTCATTAAGCAGCCATGTTAGGAAGGGGAAGGAAAAGGGAGGGGCCTTTTTTCTTTTGGTGGAGTTCATTGGTGGAGTGTGTTCTCAAGGTATATATATACACAAAGTAGACTCAAACACACAGCGCAAAACCAGGCGACAGGGGAGATAATATCCAGTTCTTTCAGTGTATAGGGGCCACGCAGCGAACGACTGAGGCAGTAACAATGCCAAAGATTACATTTTACAGTAGGAGTAAAAGTAGTAGGATAAACATGAAAAACAGCAGAGGAAAAGTGGACAAGCTTCTGTGTTTGATTTGTGAAAATAAAGAGGAAAGCAGTCTAGAGTTATCACATTTTGCCATTTTTTTTGTGTTTTGCAGTTTGGGATAATATCAGAGATGGCCAAAGATGCAAATGATTAGCCATCTGCTGCTGTGAAGATCCAACTTTGTGGGATCGGGCAAAATGTACACCCCACATTGCATGCTTTGATTGTTTTGTGTATTTTCACTCATCGACATACAGCCAGTCAACGATACAACTGTTGATATGGATGTAAGAAGTTTTGTCCTCAATTCCTTTGCTGTCTTGAACATTGTTGCTCATATTTCCTGAGTCTTTTTGCGTCACCATGGATCGAGTATTCCTGATCTAAAACAAGCAGGAAATTCAAATCGAGACACACTTTATACTGGCATTCACTTACCCCCGTCTCCTAACCCCTGCTTTAAGGAGATCAGGAGAGTTGGAGGAGAAAAGGAAACTTGTTAAGACCAGGGGGATGACCTAACCCTATTATCCGCTATCACGCTCCTGAACCGCTGATGATGAGAATTAGTATGGCCTGGATCCACACCCACTCACCCACCAGTGTAGTGCAGCCGAGTGTGTCTATAGCTGCTGGGAAGGGCGCGATCTGGAGGAGCGTGTTATCTCCACCAGTCAGGAGCAGCCGTCTGGGCGTACCACTGCTCCAACTTTGTGCTGACAACATTATGTCCCGTTGCCCCAAGCGACCCCCAAGTGGTGCAAAAGTGAAAGAATCCACCGAAGATTGGGCTCCCTGGCTGCCGTCATCGTCTCCAACCCCCGTAATAGCTTACAGTGTATCCAAAAAAGCATGGGACTGTATCCAAAAAGTGTAAAAAAAGGGAAATGTTCCTACATGCAAAAGTCCTCTTTCATTTTTTTTGTAAAAGATTTGGTTTCTTTATGAGTCCTACTTACAGTATGCAGAGTGGCACATACTCCCGTGTAGATACATACGGAAGATGCCATTGAAATTCCCTTTAATGAAGCACATCAGTCAGAGAGATGAGTAATTATTATTTAAGTACATTTCATGTTTAAATATTAGCTGAAGGATAGCAGGCAAAAATGCTCGAGTTAGTTTTAATTAGGCAATATGTTCAGAGTATGACTGCACATACACGCATGAGGTGAACAAAGTGCGTGTCTAGATTCTTCTTATGTCCTAATGTATTCACCACTGTCTGTTTGCATAATGTCTTTGAATGTTACAGCAATCAGGAATAACATTATGGCTACTACGGATGATTTTTTACATTCTAAGCCGCCACTCACCGCCTAACAAAGAGGAATGCATAGTTATCTTAATATATCATGGCTATAAGAAGCAAAAAGCTTCAGTTATCAAATGCCAGAATTCAAATTTCACCCAAAAATATTGACTATTTTTCACAAAATTTGGCTGCATCTACAATAGTCACTTGCTGCCAGAAAATTCCACTCACAAACAGGTGCTCAGTTGAAGAGCTAATCTGCTATTCATTTCAACTTGTCATAATGTGATTCCTGCTTGGTGTATTTTGCTACTAAGTTAAATGCTCACTTTGAAGTTATCATGGGCTATTGGACTGTTTTTGCATGCGTAAGTATGTACTTGTGTCTGTGTAGGTGTGGAGCATGTACTAATACAGAAGTAGTCTGGTGAAGTCAATGGAGGATGTGGTCTATTACACACATATGTACATACTGACCAAGCAAGCAGGCCAAAAGACAAGACTGCACTGACACTATGAAAACAAGTGTCCTTTCTCATGATACAAAAGTATTCACATTATAACAGTTTGTCCAGAATCCTTTGCATTTTCTTAAGATACCTGATTTTTCCGGGATCAGCACATTTTTTGTGTAGTTACTGTACAGCACGCTCACTTTGTTGCTATTTTCATCCAGTACTTAAGACTTCATTCTCTTGGGAGTTGCGGCTCTGATTGTTCCACTTTCCCAGTTTGTAGCAATAATGGTTGATTAGCCATGGGAAAGTTTTGTTTTTTGTAATGAATCCCACCCAAAGCACTGCTATGAAAGTGGTGTTCTATTTTTAAGGACCTTTGCCGTGCTGAGCACATCCAAACCTGGGATAGTGTTTTCATGAGGCCTCTACAGTATTTGGATTACCCACTGCTTGTGTTCTTTGCTTATATCCGCTGGTCAGACATGCAATGAAATCAGGTATGAAGAGATGAAGTTGTCCACCTCTACAAACATTGTCATTGCCTGTGGGCAACAGTCAGAAGTAAAAAAAGGAGTGAGTCTCTTCTTAAAAAAGTGAACTCACTTGAGTCCATCCACTGCTTGCTTAAATGTAAGTGCCAATAAATATCGGTTAAAATCCATAAGGTCCAATTGATACATGAAAAGCTTTCATTTCTGACACTTTCACAGCATTTAAAGGCTTCCCATAATGGTGTTTACAAGCGTGAATGTTTGAATACTTGCTCGTCAGTAAAGTGGTAGTTGCAGGTGATTTGTGTGTTGGGCAGCCTGTCACAGGTACACTTCTCTCCGGGACAGTGTGAGGCAGGATGTGGTCTTGTAGTCTCCTCCTGTTCGAGTTAAGGGAATGACCTCCGGTGCGTCCTGACTCTCCCCAGCCTCCTCGTCCCCCGGTTGGCGCCTGCCGAAGCCTGCGCTGCTGAATGTGTCATAGGAGGCAGAAGTCATCTTGCGGTTCAGAAGGTTGCGGTTGTGGTCGCCCATGTTCCTGTTGCCCAGTGTGCCGAGGGGATCCCCATTAGCCAGCGGTAACCTCTGACCCTCTGCACTCACCACCCCGGGTTCTGAGCTGCCCGCGCTGCTCTCACTATCGCTCTCCTGGTGGTTGTTGCCGCGGAGGTTGTTGTTGTCATCTCCCGGGGCGAATGTGGAAAGCCGTGGTGGGTCGCTGCCGTGGCGCGGCCGGCGTGGGGAGGCTCGCACGGGCATCCAGCAGGTGTCCGAGTGACCGAACTCATCACACTCACGGGTGCACTTCCCGGTGAGGGCCACATCTGGCAGCTGCCTGGCATCTAATAAAACAAAGATTTGTAAAGTCAAATGAGCCAAAATAGATTATGCAGTGTGTCAAATCAGAGGAGGGGCAGCGGTGGGATGAATGACTCGCATGGTAACTATTTGAATTTTTCATTACTGTATAAAATATTGTTTTAAGATTGTCTTATTTTTAGTGCTGTCCAACGATTCAAATATTATCATAGTGTAGTGTCATAGTTTACTTGCGACAAATCACAATTATGTTATGAGAAAGTGATTTTGCATAAATAAAGAAAACAAAAAACACAAAAAACACAAAAAACGCAAAAAACCTAAGAACTGCTTGGAAGAAATAACAGCTAAACATGTGGTTACAGCTATCTGGATATTTCTGACTACCAGAATAAGAATTATGGTAAAGGTTGAAAGATCAAATAAACGAAACAATGTACTTTCCATAAGAGATCCCATGAGAATAAGCTTCTAACAGGCATCTATAGAGTAAAAGAGCATCTTTGTAAGCTTGACCCATTTCTATACAAATTGACATTTAAGTGTAAAAACGTAATTCTAATTCTACAGAGAACTCAGATTTAATTAAATATCCAACTCTCTGCATCTCAGGGTGTGGAATCAAATAGGCAAAAAAACATTCAACATAATTATAGCTGGCACAATGAATTCTCGGCTCCACGCGCCTCCATCTGACCATGACCAAAAGTTGTTAAAGGGCATACTAAGGACTTTCAAAAACTGCATTCAACTGGAAGCGCATCTGCAGAAACCCAGTACAGTCAATCATCAGAAGGTCGGCACAGCCTTGGCCGCTGCATTTATATATACAATGCACAAACTTTATAAAAGGATCAAGGGTGGAAATAACTGCATGCATAATTTGCTTTTAGTCGTGAAATGAAAGGTTATGAATTTGTGGTCAAGGTCTCACATGAAGTATACAACATTTTATTTTCTATTATACACTAGACAATTTCTTAAATGTAATTAGAAGAAATAGAACCGAGATACCTGAAAAAATCCAAAATAAAAATACTCTTAGCATGTAATTACACACACCCACACACCCACACACACAATGCTGAACCATGTTTTTATTTTACTTCTAATCGGGGACCATTTGAAAGTACAAGCTATTTATCAACAATATTAACAGAATGCATTGGTGAGGAACTAAATGCGGCACTGTTCCTAAACAGAAAAGTCTCCTGAGACACATCTTTCATAAAACTCTGGAGTTCCACATTACATTTATACCCAGCCTCTAGACAGCCATTTCTATTACACCAAATGTTTTTTATTGGCTATTTATGTTGCGACGTTTGTGTGACTGCTCTGACCGTTCTCCACATGCTCCTCTTCTCCCACGCTGCCCTCTGGAGTGGTCCGCTCGTAGCCCTCCTCGGGCAGGGGCAAGGCTCCGAGTCTGGGCCCTGACGAACTCTTGCTACTGGGCGTCTCCGAGTCCTCCAAGCCGCTGTCATAGCAGCCGCCATCTTGGGCCTGGTTAACCACAGAGAAGGTCACCCGCCGGAGGGTCCCCTACAGAAAAAAACAAACATACAAACACAATATGGGTTTAATCATCCAGGATCCTAATCTCAGTTGCTAAATCGGGGGATTAGGCGTATGGGCAGGGCTAGTGAGCAAAGATGTGCCAAGATTATCTGCATGTTTGTCTTGATTATGGCTTTAGCAGCTACAATGTAGGCAATAGTCATGGCCCAATCACTGAAGTTTTTATTTAAAGAGTTAATCCTGGTTACATATGATTGCAGCTGGACTTTGGGGGTGGTGTTTACGAAACCAATGCCATTTATTTATCTTCCATTGGACCATTGCCCGCTGCAGCTGTGTCGTCTGCTTTAAGCCGCATAACTGAGTAACCTCAGGTTCAAAGCCACAGATTCGCATCAAAGCAACTATGTATTTATAGGTGACCTAATAGCGTGCAATCAACTCTAAATATTTGATTACATTTATCTCAAAAATGCAAAAAATGTATATGATTGTATGGAATATTTGCTTTACTTGAATGTATTAATTTTAGGATATTATGACATAAAACATAATCATAACATTTTTGATGAATACTTGAATTGAACCCAGGGCTGCAGTGGATTACCTTTGAAAAAGCGAAATGTAAGTGTTCATAGGCAGCGCCACCAGTGGTACGCTCACACAAATGTTAATGCACGGTAGACCGCTGACATCTAATACCACTACTATAGTCAATGCAACAAAGCACTTCATTTTCTCTGAGTGCCCTACCTGCTGGGATCTTCAAGCACAAATTACTATGTCTAGTTAGCACAGGTCTTTTCACGAGTAGAAGAACATGCATAGATGGTCCATGATAACAGCATGATGGGGGAGTACATGAGAGAAAGTTCAATGACTCCATCTTGCCTGAAGGGACCACTCTGCACCGGGATGCCTATTTCTATTAAACACCCCCCCCCCCAATCTTTCCACTAATTTATCTGGGAAAGCTACGGTCTTAATTTTGATCTGCTTTGAAACATGCTGCATATAGAGTCGGGTGAAAACAGTTCATGGACAACATTCAAGCTTGATATATACTGCAATCTGTAAAACTGCTCAGATTGCAATTATGTCCTTTGTCCTTGAAAATCTTGTAATGTAATTTTCATCTCTTTGATCACGGTCAAAAATAAATTGATTTTGGTATTATTTCAGTATTTCTTTTTAGCCCTTTCTCACATGTTGAATTAATAAGCACAACACGGTGGATGTCAGAATAAATTTGCCTTAAAAAGGAAATATTTAAATAATCCATAACTAGTACCTTGCTCTCAAATTCAGTACTTTTTTGTATCACCCTAAATCACAACAGCAGTCGTTTCGGAGAACTTTACAATGTTGTCGAACGGTCAAACGGTTCGAACACAATAAATACAATATTAATACACACATAGAAGCCGTGGGCCATAGGGGGAGGATGACCAATGTCCACGAATATTTATAAATGTCCATAAATGTCCTTAAATGTACCGGATCATCACCATAGACCCGAAAAAACCCCCGGAAAAGTAGCTTGGTTCTGTTATCACTATCACAGTTTTAGATCGACAAACAGTGAAAAAGAGAGGATCTAAAGCATGAATTAGTGACTCAGAAGGAACATTAAGTATGCAAAAGATAACATGATTTCTTCTGAGATGAATACAGCGTGTTGTGGTCTGACATTTTATTTTCTACAAACAAAATATATTAATCATGCCGCTCGAAAATGTTGATGCTGTTATCATTTGCAATCCATTCACCACAACCATCGGCCATGATTGATTTTGAAAAAAAAAAAAGGTGTATTTTGTTATGACCTATCAATGCAAACACAATGCAAACAGAATCCATCCTATTTAACGTGTGCCCGACTATGAAAAACACGCCATTTACCTCGACTAGAGAGCAGAGTATACAAGCTTATCAATTAGGCAGAGGAGAAAATGAACAGAGAGCTTCCTTCTGGTGCCACTTTTTAACACTTGAGGAAAAGTTAGTGTGACAGCGTGGGACTGTGGGTACAAACGTATTAGACGTGATGCAGAAGGCAGCAGTTCTAGGAAGCACTTCTTGTTACTGCCTTTATAACTCTCTATAGAGGCTCATAGAGGTATTTTTAGAGTAATCGCTAACACGGCAATGATTCAACCTCTTCCCTCCTTGCAAGCGCTGTATGGCTCAATAAAGCAGAGGAGAACATATCAAAGAAGGTATTTGAGTGAAATGGAATGTAGGTTGAGCAAATGGTTCCTACTTATGGGTTTGGATATAGATCACTTTAGTCAATAAGGTCCTACTGTTTCTTGAGTTGTGCGATACTTAACATTCACAGACATGCATCTTGTTTTGTGTGCAGACTCCCTTAAATATTGGTATTTTGTCCCTTCTCCCAAACCCTAACCTTAACCAAATGAACTGTTGCTAACCCTACCCCTAACTGTAACTAGATTGTGACTCTTAAAGATGCAGTAAGCAATTTTGTTAGCTTAGCAGTAGCACCAATTCAAAACCACTACCCCAAACCAAAAATCCAGCATTTTCTTTTCTTTGTCACAACAGGGAGAGTGGGAGGCAAAAGTGAAATTGGCATTTTCTGTTCAGCCACTTTAGGTTATAGAAAATCCGATAACTCAGGTAAACGCATTCCATTGGTTCGTGAGTATGAACAAATCCCATTGGTTTATTTCCACCGCTCCAAAATATGTTTGTATTATTTTTTGGAGACTATAGGCATCTGGTCAATTCCATTACTATTTGAAAACACATAATAACTTGACTACTTTTAGGGTTAATGGACGTTTTCCCATAATATTTCAAAAAATGCGTCTGGAAAAAATCACTGACTGCATCTTTAACCAACTGTGCCCAACTCTAACCCTAACTGTAACTAGATTATGACTCTTATCTGCAAAATTGCATAAAACAACAAACGTGCATAATTACCTCAGCCAAAATACCAAGATTTTATTGAGTGCTATTTTGTGAACTCATCTTTATCTAGTTTCATAAATGGGATCAAACTAAAAAGGAAATTGGCTGCCTATTTTTTATTGACTCATTGCAATTTTAGTGAGAAGAAGTAAACGAATTAATAGTGAATGAAATTATTATTCTACAGCTATTTTCTTAAAGGACATTCTGTATTCTTTTTCAAAACTTAGGTGTTGATGTTGTCTTTCTTATCTAATAATTTTGGATACGGTGCTGCCTCTGCTGTCATCGGGGATTTACTATAATACAAAAGGCCCATATGTCTGGCAGTTTATCGAGGACAAAAAAAATACAATTCCATGAGTGAATGAGATTAGGATTGAGGCTTTGGGGATTACCATATGAATGTAAATCCAAAGTGTATCATCATGGGACATGTTTTGATTGACAGCGGTTGAGTTTTCTAATATCTGATGCTTGGTGCTGGTTGCGGCATGCACCTTATATTGGTCCAGGCACGACTCTATCTAATTCAATTTGACTCTAATCCCTATCTCCAGGCCAGATACGTATGGTATGTTGTTTTGCTCTCCTCTTGACAGTAGCCTGTAATTCAAAGTGCTACTGTTGCATAGTTGAATTGATTTTTTTTTTTTTGTATCGCCCAAAATCACAACCACAATTGTGGCAGTCACAAACTCAAACATTTTTTCACAAAAATACAGTGATAAACGGCGGCACGGTGGCTGAGTGGATAGCACTCTCGCCTTTCAGCAAGAAGATCCTGGGTTTGAATCCCGGTTGGAACAGGGTCTTTCTGAGTGCAGTTTGCATGTTCTCCCCGTGTCTGCGTAGGTTTCCTCCGGGTGCTCTGGTTTCCCCTACCACTAAAAACATAGGTAAAATCCTCCATCTCTGGTAGTCCTGACCCAGCTGAGTGTCAACATCTGGAGATGGGTTCCGGGGCGCTGTTACTACGGCAACCACTGCTCCTGACGTAAGCCTTAGTGGCATCAGGATGGGTCAAATTTCCTTACGGGGACAATAAAGTGCACATTTACATTAAAACAAACGCAAGAGTCATGGGTCTTCCAGGGTTTGATTCCACCTATAGACGCAGCGAGAGTTTGCATGTTCTCTTGGAGTCTGTCAACCAAATGTTCTAGTTTGGGTCACTTCCAGCTACAATTTTTTCATTGCTAATATCTATAACAAAATATTGTATCCCTTTTGAGTTTCAGCATACAGAAACTGCATAGTGGTTAAACGGTGTACTTGAAGCGATCTCGAAATTGTTGACATTTGTGTTTCTTTCACTGATAGTATAGTTCAGGAACATCTTCACTGCCATTTCAACAATTCTGCAAACTGTTATTTAACACCATTGCTGTTGGAATTCTTTTTTATATAAATGCTATTAAAACAGCAATACAGCTGCTACTGCTGCTATCACAATGCTCTTTAAGCAAAGCTACATCTGTGCACCCGATTAAGCTATAAGTAATGTACTGTATAATTCAGTTACTACGTCAAACTAAAACATTGATTAGAAATGTGACTTCCCCCTGTATTATAATGAAAGTTCTCTAACATGTTACTGTTCCCACTGCTTCTCTGGACCAGTCCATTTATGAGGTGCCAATCAATAATGTGTCCTTGACCTCATTATGGGTCTCTTGTCTTCCCCACACATGCTTTTATTGAACCATATCTCTCCACCACTACCCCCGCTTTTCTGTTGCAACTTTTCTTCTCCAACTCAAGCCTATGGTCAGCACAGCACGAAGGCCTCCCATGTATGAAGGTCGTTGGAAGGGCAAAGGATCAATGCCCCAGTAGTAAAGCAGACTTCCATGTTCCAAATCTAAACATAAATATATTATAGTCAGGAGGAGCTTAATGCCCATAATGAGAATGTGAGATTAGCTGTCAGAATATAACAGTGCAATTAGCTGGTAATTGCCAGGAGTGTTGGGCTAGCAACCGCTAATGCCCTGATGGGGAGAAGTGTGAGAAGATGAGTGAATGAATTACAGCAGAGGTGTCAGAGAACTCCTTGGTTGATTTAGCTGTAAAGAAGATTA